TCTGTGCGGTCGTCACCGGTCTATTAAAACGCACAACATATTAAAGCGTCTTTGGTGTTTCCATGTTTTCTACAAAACAAAACCGGAAATCGAGGGGTTATGACGTCATTGGCAGGCGACACAATGACACTATGGACACGGTCTTTGTCACTAGTTAAAATGGCCTATTTCTCTGGATTTAAACATTCTTCGAAACATTTGGGATAATGTAAGTACACAAGTCAGCAAAATATATAACCGTTCTAGTGGTTTTTGGATATTTTAATAAAATCTGTGAATAAAATCTTACATATTGTGCCTTTAATACTGATTTGGCTACTAGGCTAAATGCTGTAAAACAATTTTTGGTACTAGACAAGACTTGGTGTTTATTGGGATTTGGGTAGGCCTACCAGACAATTTGATGGAGACACGTGATGGTATTGCTTCCAGCCCCAACCCATGACCATGCAGTCCTTTGAGATTTCTTCATTCTAAGGTTTTGGCAAAGTGATAGTATTCACAGTTCTGTTCAAAGTTGCTGGGGTTTTGAGCTGAAAGAAAAGATGCAAAGTTCTTGCTTGAATTAATGGCACCTATATTTCTTACAGTTTTTTCTGAATTGTTCTTAAAATTTCAAGTGGAGCAAAAGTGTATTCTGCAAATGTCAACCATTTCCTACCATGAAAGGCCATTTTTCTAGTTGTGATGGTAATGAAATTGTTCAGCATTATTTATTACCTTTAGAAGCAAGATGTCATGACCTGTTCTTATACTGAATTCTGGATGAGGAAGGGGATCTACCTCTACACCGTCAGGTAAAAAGTTGGTGTAATCGATCCCCAAATATGCCATAAGATGACTAAAAATTACAACAACAAAAAATATATACATCATACAGGCCAGGTTTACAATATTTACAAAGTTATTAATAAATATTTAAAATACAGCGACATGACTGCCACTTCGGATGTCAGAAGTCACCAATGTAAAAGACACTCAATATTCAGGAATATTGATATGACTGCACTGACACCAACGGATGACAACAAAACTTAAACTGAATAAGCTGAATAATGACTTGTTTTCTGTAGAGCAGCTTTATGGCTGAATCACATCTTACAACATCAACCCTGTTATTAAACTACAACTAAGTT